TCTCTCCTCTGCCTCTGTCAGGTCTTCAAATATGTAAAAGGGTCAAGGTCGGTCCCAGGACTGGAACAACTGCTAATGCACAATTAATGTTCGGAGGCCTAAATACATATAAACATGCTTCTCTTTTGATCTGGCTACCACCAATAAAGCCTCTGCCAGGTCTGGAAACTAAAAAAGCATCTCTAATCTCATAACTAAAGAAAAACAGAATGGATTTTACATAAAAATCACTAAAGTACAATTAAGCTTCAAAATCAATATGTACTAATATTCACAAAAACTATACTGTACACAGCAATTTTTCATCTCACAGTGTACAAATTATAAAACCCACAGGATATCAGAACTAGAATTTTAAAAATGCTTATGTAAAACCTTTTTCTTATGCTAATGTAATGAATCCATTATGCCCTGAATCAAAGTAATTTAAAATGAAGGCTTCTTTCCATGTTGTTAAATTCCACTTACCTTGAACAACTCAAATAGCATGTGAAACAGATGTGAGGGCACATAAACTACCTGAATAGGTTTGTTTGGAGCTTTGGCTGAAAACAGAGACAAAATCATCAATGAATAAGGATCAAAACTAGAAGAAAGTCAAGAATGTCTGTGTTCAATTTTCCAAGTGCATAAGAACTCTATAAATTGTTAATTTTGGTTTCCATCTCTAAAGGCAGGACTGAGCAAAAGCAAATGTTTCGAGGTCCAACAAACTTGGGGTGATCTCCAGTTCCTTCACTCTATCAGCTATGTGACCTTGGGAAAATTACTCCATCGCCCTGAAACTTAGTTGAGCAAAACTGGAATATTATCACCTGTGTAATAATGTTCTGAGCATTACATAAGGTCATCCAAGTGTCGCTCAGTGTTTTTCAAATTGGGAGACACCCGTCCCTACCACTGACCCCCAGTAGTCAGCAGGGAAAACGCGAAGCCACAGAGGAAAAGGGGCACATCTTGGTAAATTAAACAGTGACGTTAAATTCTGTTACATTACGACAAACAAGGCATATTATAGAGTAGAATGTAAGGTTTACCTAACTTTTTTCTACTAGCAGCTAGCAGACGAACCCCTAGAGACCTACGGCCCTTCCTCCTCGCATCAGGGATCGTCTGGGGAAAATCTGAGAAACACCCAATTCCACATCAAATGCTAAGAACAGCGTGGGCTATAGAGTAGATGCTAGAAAATTTAACCCCTCCTCCTCCTCGTGACCTGAAATCACTTAAGAGACTGAAACCACGTGAACTTTCTCAGGCAGGACATACTCATATTGTAATTTTGACCTAACCACTTCCTCTAATAAAGTACATAATTAACAGTAATATAAAGTAGAGCGAACAACTGTTTGGTTCTTAGCAGTTTACAAAGAACTTGCACATACATTATCCAATTGAACCCTTGTGACGATACCGTGTGGCTTATGGGGTGGGTGGCATTAATATGGGTGAAGACACAGGCTATGTGACTTCCACCGTAACAGAAGAGGTGCCGAAACTGGACACCTGAACCAAATACTTTTGATTCTAAATTTGGAACTTCTGATTCTAAATCTGTGAGTTACTAAGTAATATATACAAATTATTTAAAAATTTGTTAAAAAGGATAAAAGTAAAAGTCTCTGCACCCTTTCCCATCTCGCCCCCCACAACGCACCCAGAGGCAGCCTCTCATTATTATTTCTGCTTTAGTCTTTTGGTTGATAATATTTACATTCTGTTTTGTAACCCTAATTAACCCTTCCATACTTTGCCTATGGGTTCTTTTTTATGAAGCTGAAAATCGACAGTGTTGGGAACATCATAACTAGGTAAATATGGATCACTGCAGAGCGGCCGCAAGAGTGGACCAGGGCAATATTTCCTTCCCTATGGGTCCAAAGACCTGATTTATGTGTCACTTGAATGAGAATGTTCTCGGCCTTAAGGTGAAATGGATTCTCTTTTATCTTCCTCCAACTGCTCAAAATCAGACTACCCTTTTTAAGTTGCCAAATATTTGGACCGTGTCTTTCTGATAGAATTTTATATATTTCCTGCAGCTTCTAACGACCCTTCCTCTGGGGTAATTGGATAAGAAACATGTTTTCCTCTTCACGTCTCTAAGATCTTCTGGCTTCTTATTCTAATGCATGGCATCCGCTCCATTCTTTAAGACTTTTCAAATTAGAATCGATTGCTTTCCAAACGTGCTGCGTGGCCATCATCCTCAAATTGTTTTGATCGAAGCTCTAGAATGTTTTAGTTATTTCTTATATCCCTACTAAACACATCATCAAGTCAATGAGGAAATCTATCTCAGAAAGGTGTTCATGGGAGATACATTTCTCAATCCTTATTCCTCTGATTCATTTGATTGAAGGTTTGGCTGGATACAGAATTCTTGATCCGAAGTCATTTTCTCTCAGAATTTAGGAAGGGGGCGGAGGGGGGTGGTCTGCTGGCCATGACAGTGCAGCCTGTCATGTTTTCGTTCACGTGGCTGGCTTTCAACCAAGGTCTGAAACTCCTTGGTTGTAATCTTGTTGAAGAATGAGGGACTGGATTAATCATCTGAGGTAGCTGGTGTTCATCCCTCCACTTCTCGGGCCCTCCCTTAAATGGGAAAGATGACTCGAATCTCTGTGTACCTGGTCAAGACCTTTCAACTGGCTTTAGGATGAGCGGATAGTAAGCTGGTCTCTGACCAGAGGGTCCCCCAAAGCTTGAATGAAGAGGGCTTTACTTTGAGCTAATGATACACAAACAGCCCAGTTTTTTTCCAGGTTGTTCCTGAAGAAAGTTCTCGAGTTTTGATTTTTTGCCCAGGGGAAAATGCTTGTGACTGACTCCAGGCAGAGCCCAGGCAAAGTCCAGGGCTCTCCATCACCCCTCCATGCTCTACACCAGCTTTCAACTAACCGCTACCATTTCCCTTCAGTCCCTTGCACCTCACGGTTCTGCTCCCCGAGTCTCTCCAGGATAACCTCTGGCAATCAGGTGCCATCTCCGCCCGCAGCCTCCCCTGTGGCTTCTTCTGCTCTGTCACATTAATCAGAATACTTCTTTCCATCTGGTTACCCTCTGGCAGGAGGTGGGATCAGCGGTTCACTGAAGTACTTCCTGGTTTCTTTGCTGTTTTCCTTTGTAGTCCATTATTGTCATTTTAATGGAGCTCCAGGAGCACACTGAATGCTTACTCTAGCTTCTACCAAAAGGGCATGATTAGTTATACAAACAGCGTTCTGAATTCAACCTTTTCACTCCAAATCTCGGAAAAAAATTAAAATACCTTTGATAGTTTTATTGTGTTGGGTGTTTTTGTTTTTTTTTAGTTCAATCAACATTCTCTAGGAGCCATCTGAAGTCTTGCTCGATCACTTGTACTTCTGGGGTGGGGGTCATTATAGTTTACATGCCTTTCTATCCTTTTAGAACCAGGTCGAATGTTTTTGTCCATGACTCTTCCCTAATCCTGGGCTTTTATGTAGTGGATCCTTAGTAGATGTTTATTGACTTTCAGAAATGGATATGAACTTTCCATCTAAGGGTACATTTTAAAAAGTCAATGGGAAAAATGTTTCAGGTTTTCCATGCTCAAGACTCAAGAAGAGTCATACTTGTGTTCAATGTATCTTAAAATATAGTTGTGATACTATTACTTTGTAAAATAATAAAAATAAAAATTAAAAAGCAAAAAAAAAAAGACTCAAGAAATAACAGTCTCTATTTTGCACACTCATTGTTCCAAATACCATTCATTTAAACAACATTTAAAGAATAGCAACAGAACTCTGCAGAAAAAAAAAAAAAAACATTTAAGAGAAAAAGTCGCTTGGCACTTTTAGAGATGGTTAATCAATTCCCAAAGTCAATGGATAAGGCTGTTGGAAACAATATATAGTGTGGTTCCAAGTCACACTGGGATCAAGTCCCGACTTAGGCATTTAATAGAAATATTAGTAGGTACGTAACCCATCTGGACCTTGGCATTCCTTTTCTGAAACTGCACAGTACATATCTCCCTGGGTTAATGTAAAGATTAAATGAGATAATGGTGATAAACTAGTCTACACAGAGTCTGCCACATTGTAAGCAGTCAATAAATGTTGCCTATTATCACTACTAAAAAATTTCTACAGTGTTAACGGAGCTACCAGTAATGGCTTTTCGATTGCTGTACAGAACCACTTGTCTGAAAATACCCAGAAAAGCATACAATATGGGAAAACTAGAGGTCAAAACTCTCAGGAGAGATGCATACTTTTTCTATGAAACCTCTTAAAACAAAATATACATAGTATGAATTGAAATTTTTCTTTCCCACCAAACCTAAAGCTAGGAATCAATCTCTTGACATAAAAGACTAATCTAGAAACGGTGAAAAATGCAAGTAGTAACCATAACTCTTATATTTCCTAAGTGAACCCTGACTTCTAGTAGCCACTCTCTTAAAAATATCCAGCACGTGCCTGGTACCGTGTCTGAGGCCCTAGAAACATTATCCTTTTATCACCACACAGGGTGAGCTTACGGATAAAAAAGCTGAGCATCACACACAAAGTGACATGTCTAAGGCCAATGTCTCCTAAGTGTCAGAATCCAGATTTCTACCACCTGCATAGCTACAAAGCTCACGTCTTTCCTCTAAGCCATGTTGCCTTACCATAAGGATGCAAAAAAAAAAAAAAAAAAAAAAGGAAAGGTGGAAATGTTTACTTGCTTAATGTTTTGGCAAGTGATTTCTCAAGAGAATGAGAATGCTGAAATGAGAACAAATATGATGAAATGGCTACTTGTCTTTGGAGAAACCCACACAGGTTGCCACAAGTGGTGAGTCAGAAATATTTGACACCTAATACAGTAAATAAAATTCTGTTATTTTTAATGCTCTTGTTAAATGTGCTACGGGAAGGATAATAAAAGAAGTTTACTATAGCTGGCCCTCATATTCAGAATTCCAGTGATGACTGGTACGTGCTGATGGTGTTCACATAGTATGTTCTACATAATCCTATTTCCTACTTTCTCAGGGGTCTACATTGGGAAAGAAAAACACCAAAACTTCAGAGGAAAAGAAGGTGATATGTCAAACTAACAGAACTTAAATTCTCAGGTAGCAATAACTGTTCTTTTGGGTTAACGGCAGGCTCACCTAAGTGCAGAGCAGAGGGCAGCAAGCGCTATCACTGACTGTGGTTAAAGGCACCCGTTGGGTCATGGAAGCGTCTTGAAAGGCAGTGCAATGAAAAGAAATCCTTCGGTATCTGGATCTATGGATTCACACGGGCACTGAAAAGAAATCCATAGGTATCTGGATCTGATCTGATCTCTCCCTGAAAACAGTCAGTCATCACTCTGTGAGAGACACGTGCGCACACTCTCTCATAATGAAGTGCAAGTGCCTACTTAGGGTGTTCACGATCGACCTCTGAGCTGCATTTCTAACGTAGAGCTTGTTAGAGCTAAAGCATAGTCTTTAACTGCACTTGCAAAGAAATCACAAATATAAATCATAAATACGTTATCCAAAGCAACGGGAAACTAGAGGCTGCCTGTAACCACCGGCATTCATTTATCTTAATGATGGAGAAAAGGGCTTCAAAGACCATGCGGGAGACGGTGCCAAAAATAGTCATAAAGCTCTTCTCCTGGTGGGGTGCGCTGCCCAGCATGACAGCCTCGCTGGGAAGGAACTTGCTGACACAGCTGGCACCTGAGAATCAGCAAGAACAGGCTCGCTGCTCTGGCCTTCGGAGCGAGTGAGGCTGCCATTCATGCAAAAGAGCAATTGGTTACTACCTGTGAATTTAAGTTCCATGTTTGACAAATAAAAATCTGGACAGTGAGGTCACGTCCTGCCTAGCCAGGAGGAAGAAAGAAAGAGAATATTAAGATGCTTCTACACAACAATACGCAAGCGAAGTCCACTCGGCTCTGGGAGTGTACTGATTCAAAACAGGCTCAACTCTTCTCAGAGAGCCCAATGGGCTTTGAAAGCAGCTTTGAGTCCAGATCTTCTAGTAGAATTTAGAGGCAAATGTCCTATAACAGCAGCCTGAAGTCTTTTCAGTTTTTGATCTCGTAAGATAAAAACATTTTTGATATGTTATTGAGAGGGAATTTGGTTTATCTTTAATCGTAAATGCCCACACCCTAAGACTCAGTCGTTCCATTTCTGGGGATCTAACCTACAGAAATCCTTCCACGTGTTCACAAATTTTCCCGCTTTCCAAACACACACACGCGTGCACACACGCGCACATCTATCTTCACTGGGAAATGACTGAATAAATTATGGCAATCTACACTATGGATAATTTCTAAATGACAATACAGGCAAAGATCTTCAGGTGAAGTGAAGAATGCATTATGTCTAACCAACGTACTTTACACTTGAAACTAATAAAAGAAAAAAAAAAAGAACATATTATAAAACATGTATAATTTCAATCCCAATTACGCAAAAAGAAAAGCTTTGTACAGGACTGAGAGAGTAGTGGGGACTTGCACTTTTTACTCTATATTTCTGTATTGTTTGTATTTTTACAACGAGCACGTCTCTTTTGTAACTTGCAAATAAAAAATAATAGTAACATGGAAATACAGACTCATACAACTAATATAAAAATCAGCTATAACCCCAATATCCAGATAGCCGTTGTCTGTATCTCGGTGCTAAAAATCCTTCGAAACATTTTCCAACGAACTTACAAACTTTTACGAACTTTTGTAGCCTGTGTTTAAAAAATTAACTTTTCCCATACACTAAATATTCTTTTAACACATTATTTTGAATGGCTGCATAGCATTCTATCTTACGTGTGTACCACCATTTTACTTAAATAATCGTCTACTGTGGAAAACGTGGGTTGTTTTTAAATTTTTCTCTATAAGGAAACCACTGTGACCACCACTCTTATACGTACATCTGTATTTTCCTACAACAAATTTTCTGAAGTTTAATTTACTGGACCAAAGAATATGACCATTACTAATTTAATTTAGTGGGTCAAGGAGAAAAGAGCATTGTTAGCATTTTTTGAGAAAAGCTGTACCAATTTAAACTTATACCAGAAATGTATAAGTGTTGGTAAGAATATTTTTCTGGGCAGCAATTTAAAGCAATAAAATGTTTTAATCATTGCCATTTTGAAAGACAAAAATGGCATTTCCCTGTGTTTTTGTTTGTATTTCTTTGACTAATAAAGTTAAACATTTTTCCATCTGTTTATTGACTGTTTGTATTTGTTGTTTTGAGAACTGCCTATTTATACCTTTGTGCATTTTCTACCTGGATTACTTCTGTTCCAAGAACCTTCAGTTCTAATAGATTATACATTTCTGTACAAAAACTCCTTACAACAATATACCTAGTTGACCACAAATATAGAAGAGGTTTTAAAAATATATAAAAGATTTAAAAAGCAGCATAATTTTAGGATTGCATTGAAATATAGCTCAGGTATAATCATTTTTTTAGGCAGCTTATCTGTATTTAAGGTTAAATTATTTTTCTTTTACCATTAAATTCTTCAACTTCCAGCTCTGGAGCTGCCATGTAATACTGTTCACACAACATCTTGGCAGTTTCATATGCATCTGTCAAGGAAAGAAAAAAAAGGTTGGTGGCCGCACTAATAACACAGGCACAGAGAGACAGAGAGACAGAGAGACATAATAGAATAAGCACACAGGGACAATTTCTAACCTGATGGGTTTAGAATCAATCAACTACTGCCTTTTTTTAAAATAGCCTTTTTGGCTATAATAGAATTACTAAGACTGAACAAAAATTTCTCCTTCTTTAAAGTTTTAATGACCATATCAAAAAAAAAAAAAAACCTGCACTAGTAACAATATGGCAACCTGACTGAATTGTAGCAAAAAAAGATATCTGTTGTAATTTAAAAAATAATAATGCCAATAGTCTGAAGATTTGCCAATTATTCGTAAACGAAACATCAACAAGTATTTGCTGAATGAATGAGTTTCCACGAGCCACGCACTCTAAGTTACTGGAGACACTACCATAGCTTGAAACTGTCCTTTAAGTTAGTTAAAGGTAGCAGGTTGGGCTGATATTTATCAAAGTCCGAGGACCAACAGCTCCCTTTTGAAAGGGGGAAAAATAAAAACATAGGGTAAGAAGATCGGGGCCATTACAGAGACAGATGGAAGAAAATTCAAGTTACATCCCAGCAGATGGGGAATCATTTCAGAAAGCAAAAGTGCATTATTATATGCTACATGTGTGCCTTTTCTCTTAAACTGTAAACAATTTGAGGTCAGGGTTTACGTCTTATATTTGTTTTTTAACTCAAATACAATTTAGCATGTGCCTGTTGGTCAATAAATATTTCTCGGTTTGAAAATTTTGAAATGTTTCGATAATTTACATTTTAAAAAACAGCTTTATTGAGATGTGATTCTCATACCAAACAATTTACCCATTTAAAGTGTACATACAACTCAGTGGTGTTTAGTGTGCTCGCAGAGCTGTGCACCCATCACCACAACCAGCTTTGCATTTTCATCACCCCAGAAAGAAACTCAGTAACCGTTAGCAGTCATTCCCCCCATCCCAGCCCTGGGCAACCACCAATCAGTTTTGTCTCTACAGATTTGTTATTCTGCACATGTCATGTAGAGTCTTATAACATGTGGCCCTTTGTGTCTGGCTTCTTTCACTTAGCATGATATTTTTTCAAGGTTCATCCATGTTGTAGCATGCATCAGTACTTCATTCCCTTTTGTTGATGAAAAATATTGCATTGCACAAATATGCCACATCTTGTTTACCTATTCATCCTTAGACGGACATTTGGATTGTTTCCACTTTTTGGCTATTATGAATAGTGCTGCTATGAATACTCATGTTCAAGTTTTTTGTAAACATATGTTTTCATTTCTCTTGGGTATAAACCTAGCAGAGGAAAATTGCTTGATCATCACATGGGAGCTCTATGTTTAAACGTTGGCAGAACGGCTAGACTGTTTTCCAAAGTGAAATTATTTTTTTAAGTTTTACCTTTACAATTTCTAAAGATCACATATTCAAATTACTTTAAAACGATTCATGGGTATTCACAACTGGTATCGGCTCCATGGAGAAAGGCTCATACTTCTTTTACATTCTCCATAACAATACTGTGCATAGAGCAGATACTTGTTTAAGATTCAAGAGGTAAGAGAAAGAGGGAAGAGAGAAAAGGAAGAAAGGGGAAAAAGTAAGCCCTATAGAATTTCAATATGTTAAAATTTGACATATCAATCTAAAATAATACAAAGATAAGATTGGGGTATGTTCAGACTATAAGTTTTGGTTCATTTATCTCATATTTCTACCAAATTAAAAGTTTACAAAATATTTGACCTCAGTATAAAAATTCTAACAATAGAGATATTAGAATAACTCTGACGAGATGAAATAATGAGGGGTATAGCCAAAGAAAATGTTAGTAGGAGGAGAAAAAAATAAAGAGTTGATCAGCGTGAAAACCGACATGAAAGTGGGCCTGAATTTAAACCCTAAAAAATGAAAATTTAGAATTATATTAAAGTTACAAGTTTTTTCCTACGGTATAATAAACCTCATCAAATATTTGTAAAAGTACTTTCGTAAAAAGAAAAAAAAAATCAAGACTCACTCTTTTTGCTCTGGCTACACCACCAAACAATGCTACATCTCCACCTAGTGACACGATAGCACAAAGCCAACCAAGAACTTCCAGGGCCACTTTACTTAAACCAACAAACATTGAAACCTAAAAATGATGCTTTGTTATCCATATACAAAGCCAATACAGCTCCACAAAACATCTCTCCTCCAAGTATATAAGATCTTTAAAGATGTTTAAGTATCGTTCTTCCATTCACTATAAAAGGAAAAGAACCCAGTTCCACTAAATGTGCTAGCTCCTCATGGCATTCACTTGCCCAGTGGCATGAGGTTATACTAGCATTACTCAGAAAAAGTATTACACGAATGTAACATGCAGAAGATGGTAGAGCCCAGATAGAAGCAGCCAACTTGGGACTCAAAGACCCAGTGTGGTTCCTAAAACCGTATGTGAAAAAGAATTTTTTAAGCATCTACAAATTATAGTGTATCGAGGCTGTAATTAAAAATTACATTGTGATCCTTAAAAAACTCGAGACATCATAATGAGGCTCACATACACAAGCCAGTCAAAAGTATTTGGGGGACAGTAATAGGAAAATCTATATTCCTATGCATCTTTACAAATTCTCATAAGCACATCATAATGCCTTGGGTACAATATACACCTAGTAGGCATTTGATAAGTGGAACAATCCTCTTGCCCATGAGAAATTTCTCAAGGTGTAGTCAATTATACTGATGAGAGATGTTCTTTATGGTTAGACTGGGAACTACAGGCCTAGCAGGTTCCCAAACCTGGCTATATACAGAATTCATTACCAAGTTTTTAAAAAAATACAGTTTATAAAATGAACCCCTGGAGATTCTGATGCAGTAGATCAGTGTTGAGGCCTGGGACTCTGTATTTAAAAAAAAAAAAACAAACAAACTTAGCAAGTCATTCTAAAGAGAAGCGAGATTTGGGGACTACTTGCCTGGAAAGTCAAGACTGGGTCATGCTAATTATGTCACTGTTTCTCCTAGGACATGAATGATCATGGGGTACTGGGGTAGAAAACAGCACATATATGCTCAAACAGGACACTTCTGTTTAAGTGAAATAATATAAAAACAAAAAGCTTTAAAATGTCACCGACATAGCAACTATTGGCTTATAATTTCCTCTATTCTAGAGTAAAATGCAAGTTCTACCTTTAACGAGCTTTCTAATAAGACTTTTCTATTTTTTAATTAGAAACCAAAATTTTAAAATATGACAATTTACCAAAACACTTTTATCTGCAAGCTATCTAAGCCACTATTTACCACCAATCTTTAAAAGGAAATATTAGGAAACGATTATTACGACCACTAAACGTAAATGCTATTGTTTTAAGAATTTGTTCTCAAGGATAAGGTATTGACATAAAGTAACAAAACTCTGGGTGTGGCACATACACACTTCCTCAGGCTAGAACATCCAACCTGTAAACACATAAGACTTATTATTTTTTATTTAAAAGGCCGAGCCATAAAGAGTAGGGTGAAGGTTCACACAGCAATTAGCCCAATAGATCCAGCCTAGCCAGGAATTCATTTTAAGGAAAAGCACACAGGAAAATTTAATAGATTATGGAGGTTATTTTATTAGATTTTTAAATTACATGTTCCTATTCAAAATTCACCATAGAACTCTGCTATCAAATATTAGTCTCTACCGTAAATACACACAAACGTTTGTTTACTAATATCTTATAAGAGGCTGGACAAAGATGAATTTGAGTGAGTAATGAAAAAACAAACACGAAGGTGCCAAGGTCCCTAACTTAACTTGGGTCTCATAGGATACAGAAAACTGTAAAGCTCAAGTTGAAGAAGTCACTGCTGGAACAAGGTAATATAAATGACTATAAAGCAGTACAAACTCATGATAACGCTGCTTTTTTAGAAATCCTTTCAAGTTACAAAGCAATTCTAATAATGTATGTCTATCACCATCCTTTCACCCAAAACCCACTCTGAGTGGGAACCACCAGGATTCTTTAAAGCACTGGACCCTCTCCTACCACCAAACCACAGCCAATTGGAGAAGTGGCGGGGGGCAGGGGACCGGTGGGGCGCAGAACATCTAATATCAAGGGCAACCAATCTACAAGCTGACCAGAATCTTAAAACCTGTGGTCATGGGTGAAAAGATAGGCTGAGCCCATTAAATTCCTCTTTTGAGAATTTAGGATCGAGACGCTTGGCAGGGCAGAAGATGAAAGGATACACTGAGAGTTATCCTGATTCAGAAGGCTTGGAGTGGCCATCATTGCCCTAAACAAGTCCCGCAGTCTACAGACAAGAAAGGCAGAGGGGCCAGGATCTGGCAACCCCAGTTTGCAAGGATACACAGAAAACAACATTGTTTTCTGTTTCCCAGTTCCAATCTCTATAGCTCCAACTGTGAAGTGCTTCCTGCTCTTCGATCATCATGCGACCTACTAGGTTCTTTCAATCAATCCGTTTCTGGAGCTAGCACGAGTAGGTCTCTGTTACTTGCAACCTGAAGAGTCCTGAGTGAGAACATATTATTTCTGAACCAAAATAATGACACATTCTCAAGATACCATTTGTATGCTATTATGCTAAGCAATAATAGCATATAGGAACAGCACAGGCAAGCTAACATCGCTGTGAGAGCTGATTTTTGTACCAAGTATTTAAGTTTGTACCTTTAAAATGATCTTACCACAGGATTTTCCATTTTATTTCCTGGTTTCTTACAAAGAAAGGAGGGAAAGGGTCACAGCGGAAGGCACCTCCCAGAGGATAATAGAAACTGCTTTACAACACTAATTCTAGCATTCGCTACCACAAGTCTATAATTTGCTGATGTGTAAAGGTAGATATTAATGTGCTAAATAAGCAGCAAGGAGGCATGCTTCAATGTTCTGCACATTCAATTAATGTTATGCAAGATGCACCCCACTTTTACACATTTATACAACTGTCT